GGGGGGGGGAAGGGCAGCAGGCTCTCAGACAAGGACGCCCAGGCTTGAAACGCGCTTGAGCGAGCGCTGGCAGCTAGAGATGGGGCTGGGCCTGATGGCACAGCTGTCCCCGCCAGGGCATCGCCGTCCAGCCCCACCTGGGCTCACCCCAGCTCCTGCAAAGTTCCCTCTGACCCAACCTCTTAGGTTGCAGGTTGGAGGAAAGACTCGCGGCCTCTGGGGAGACATTTGGAAATGGAGCCTACTTTCCCTCCACGCCAGGGCTTCCCATCTCTGCCGGCAGCAGTGCCACCGCACGGGGTGCAGCGGCTCCACGCCCGGTCCAAGTGGAGGAAGAGGCGACCTTGCTTGGTCACATGACTAGCTGCCAGGTGAGTGGCCCTGAGAGCCTCTGTGGGAGTCCGTGCAGCCAGGTGTGCGTGGACGGGCAGGTGTGTGTGTCACGGGCAGGTGTGCGTGTCACAGGCAGGTGTGCGTGTCACAGGCAGGTGTGCGTGGGACGGGCAGGTGTGCATGGGACGGGCAGGTGTGCGTGGACGGGCAGGTGTGCGTGGACGGGCAGGTGTGCATGTCACGGGAAGGTGAGCGTGTCACAGGCAGGTGAGTGTGTCACAGGCAGGTGTGCGTGTCATGGGCAGGTGTGCACGGCACAGGCAGCTGTGCGTGGCACAGCGGGTGAAGGTGGTGCCTCCTTGGCCGGGGCCAGCGAGGCTTCCACACGTGGCAGTGGGTGCTCAGCTTGGGCTGGTCAGGGGGACGTGGGTGACTACGCTGGGCTCCGGGTCGTCCCCTGCCAGCCTCGGGGACACGGCCAGCACAGGGGGCCACAGAGGAGCTGTCCCTCTGCGCGGGGGCCAGCCCTTTGGGAAGCCTGGAAAGCTGCTCTGCCCCCAAACGTGTCTGTGGTGCTTGAGAGTAAGCAGGAGGCGCGGGTGCTATCGGGTGCCCACTGGGCCGAGGGCGGCGGGGCGGGGCTGTGTCCCTGCGGGCTGCAGCGCTGGGCGTGAGGAGCGCTGAGCACAGGCAGCGGCGGCGGTGCGCCCCCTCCACCCTCCACCCTCGCCCCGCATCCCCTCGCCCCGCACCCCCGTGCCGGCTCCACCCCTGGCTGTGTCCGGCCTGCCTCAAGCTGCAGAAGGGTAGAACCTGGGAAGTCGCAGAGTCTCAGAAGCCACCCTGGTCTGGACACAGACTCGGCTGCTCATGGTGGTCTGGTGGCACAGACCGAGTTTCCAGTGTGGCTGTGTGGCCGCTGCCAGGCCAGGAGCTCACAGTGTGTGTAGCCCGGGCCAGAGCACACGTAAGGAGCTTTTGGCACCGTCCCCAGGCCCTGCCCACTAGGGCCTTTGTGCTTCAGGTGTTGGCCATTTAGCAGCTGTGTTCCTGGGTCCCAGGTAGTAGTGCCAGCAGGCTGTGTCTGCATGTTCCTGCCCCAGGGCCTTTGCCTGGAGTCTCCCATGGCCTCCCCATGGATGGAACCCTCAGCCACTTCACACAGAGAGGACCCCTCTGGTAGCGCAGTTCTTGAGGCCCAGCTGAGCAAGGTCCTTGCTTGGGATGCTGGTCCTCGGCCGTCCCTCCTCCTGTCCACCCGTACGGTCCTCCCAAACTTATCGAGCGCCCTCGCTCCCTGGGCTGCCACACACGCTGCTCTGCTTGCAGGCATGCCCCCTCCCCCCTCCCCCCACCCGCTCCTCCGGCAGCCGTCCTCAGTGCTCACCGCCCTCCACCAGGTCCGAGGGGGGAGGGATGAGGTCCCGGGGGTTCATCCTGGCCACCAGGCAGACATCGTAGCTGTCGTGCATGAGGGCGTTGGCCGCCACGACGTTCCACTGGTTCTCCCAAGGGTCCAGCTCCAGGATTTCTTTGGAGATAACCTCGTGGCGGTCTGAAAGGCAGTGCAGTCACAAGACACAGCCGCATCTCTAAACCACCCAGGTGTGGAGCAGAGCCCCTGACTCAGCCGCCTCTGCCCGGCACCACTCACCACAGGCAGACACCTGAATGGAGATACTTTAAGCAAAGGCACAGTTCCTGACACTCGAGAAACCTTGAAAAGCCACACTGCAGTTCCCATTAAAAGACTGCCCCAGGACTGGCACCCTCGTCTCCAGCCAGGAACTGGTGTGAGCCAGGCTGGAGTCCTGGCCCTGTGACCGGATGGAGAGGGGTACGGAGACTCTGGGTAGCTGGGTGATATCCTGACGGTTTAGCAAAGGACGGAGGAGGGGTTCAGGACAGCCTAGGGCCCACGCCCAGCCCGGGACCTGGAGGAGGACAGCTCAGGACCCAGCACCTGGCCTGGGGTCTGGAGGAGGACAGCGCAGGGCCCAGCACCTGGCCCGGGACCTGGAGGAGGACAGCTCAGGGCCCAGCACCTGGCCTGAGGTCTGGAGGAGGACAGCTGTCTGGGTGCAGACAGAGTACCTGGCGGGGTGCAGTGCCTGGCGGAGTGCAGCACCTGGCGGGGTGCAGCGCCTGGCGGGGTGCAGCGCCTGGCGGGGTGCAGCACCTGGCGGGGTGCAGCGCCTGGCGGAGTGGGCAGTGTCTGGCAGGGTGCAGCGTCTGGCGGGGTGTGCAGCGTCTGGCGGGTGTGCAGCGTCTGGCGGTGTGCAGCGTCTGGCGGGGTGCAGCGTCTGGTGGGTGTGCAGCGCCTGGCGGTGTGCAGCGTCTGGCGGGGTGCAGCGCCTGGCGGGTGGGCAGCGTCTGGCGGTGTGCAGCG